ATTTGATAGGAACGATCAGATTAAATCAAATATCTGTCCTGTAATACCTGGAGTTTGCGTAAAAAAACGCCTTCGAGATACCTAGAGCGACAGCTCGACCTTCGCCATTAATATAAAGAGCTTGATATACATTTTCAGTGATGGCCATTAACACATCAGCAGTAGACCTAGCGAAACAAAAGTCATATTGTTTGTCCGAGAGAAGCTCGTGAGAAGTAAGATGCATAACAACTTCAATATTGAATAGAGCCTCGGATAATTAGCCGAAAAGCGGCGAGACTACTAGGGCGATAATTTGAAGGGTCATAGGGTTCTCCAGAGTTCTTAAAAACCAGAACTACAGAGGATGACTTCAAACAAACTGGAGAGCAGGATGCAGCAAAGCAATTGTTGTAGAGCTTGGAGAGAACTCGAGTCAGCTCAGGAATACATTTCTTTAGGACGATGGATGAGATCTCGTCACCTCCGCTTGCCTTGTGGGATTCTACTTTAGAAATGATATCTAAAACCAATGACGGGTTTGTGCGCATATCACTCAATAGAGCCTCCGTTCTAGATGTGGGTGTGAATACTCAAAATGTGACTAGGGTGGAGTTGGAAGAGAATTTCCGAGCAAAGCACTCAACCTTATCTGCTGTAGATGCCAAGACTTTAAACTGATTGAAAGGTGGGAGGACTGAAGATTTACTGTTTTCAGCACACTCTTGCAGAGTCACGAATAATCTCTGGAACCCAAAATGTGAGAGGCTATACGTTGTCTTATTCTATCAGTAAACAGTAACTTCGTTTCACTGAGGACACGCTTGCGGTCATTACGAACAGAGACAAAGAGACGCCTGTTGCAATCAGACATGTCGCTCTAGTACAGACGGAAGAAGTTATTCCTGTGAGCTATAGCGGCCGAGCATACAGCTGAGAACCAAGGGGGTGAACATGATTTCACTTGGTATTTCGATACCGGCTTTCACCCAGGAGGAGACTTTAGAGTCACGATTTTTAACAGAATGATTAAGAACTTCATTCCAAGGGACATCACAAAGGAAGTCACGGAACGAGTCCTAATCAGCTAGTTAATAACAGAAAGATATTCTGTTAGAAGTTTCTTGGTTGGCGGGAAAGCGGAAAGAAATGTTTACAAACACTACCGCATGATCAGAGTTGCCAAGAGGGCAGAGCTGTGTAGTATGACAGGAGTTAGGGATAGAGATAAAGAAGATATCAAGAAGAGAAGCGTGTCTATCAGGATTACTGAGGAAACGCGTGGGGAAGTCAACCAATTGAGTGAGAGATTGAGTGATAAAGAAGTTCAGGGTTTGAATGACAGCAAGGTCAGTGACAAAGTAATTAAGCCACCTGACATGGTGGGCATTAAAATCACCGAACAGAAATATTTTTACAAACGGGTGTAGAGAGATGGCCTTGATTATATTATCAGAAATACTATATAGCACGCAAGTCATAAGAGGAAGAGGAACGGTAGAAAAAGAAGAGATAGCTGACTGAGTTTAGTAGAAAATGACGGTGATTAACAAATGGTTGGTACGACTTATTCTTACAAATTATAAAATCAGCCGAAGTTTTATTTGGATTTAAAATCGTTGAAGCAGAAGAAACAAAATGACAATTTTTTATTAAAAATTTCCAATTTTATTAAACGGTATATTTCACGATTATTAACCAGTTTTAATTTCATCTAAGCAAAATAATAATTTTAAAATATTAAATGACTTACCGGAATATTTTTCAAATAATTATTCAAGGCATATTTTCCTCATATATCGAGTCGAAATTTCAAATAATATTTTAAAGATAAATATTTTGTAGAGTGGTTTCATAGGTATGCAACCAGAAATAATTTTTTTTTTCGCTAATGTTTTCTTATATTATTATAAGTTAATCACTCCAGATCACAAATATACTTAATATTTTTTATGAAATATTACAATAGTTAATGAGCGAGTTTTATTTTCTATGTAAATTCGTTGTCAATTGATCACTCTACGCAAACCAAAACAAAAAATATGATCTCACCACGTTATCTCTTCAAATTTTAAAAAGTGAAATATTTTTGATATCTGTAATCGGGAGTACATTTTTTCATTTTTTTCTTTTTTATTATATTTTCGTTTTTTTTTGTTGTTTTTTTTTTGTTTTGTTTTTTTGTTTTGTTTTTTGTTTTTTTTATAGTACTATCAAGTATATTCTCCAGATAACGGTATTTAAAAAAAAAAAGATACATTTTTTTTTTAATTTTAAGAAATGGCGTCTTATACCTGTATGTCAATAGTTGGGCAACTCGACGTAGAGTAATGGTTGTCTTACTAGAAGAATTATGACTGAGTAGTGAGTTTGATCCTCACTTGTGTCACATCTAAGCTACCCTTAAGAAAATAAGCCTGTGTCCCAATAGTATTTTTAATTTCTTGTTCAATCACAATTTGGGGTCCGGATAGCTTTACCGGTGGCTTCCAGAACGAGGCTTATCAGATAATGCACAATCGCCATATTTTATATCTTATGATATGTTTATTTTATTTTATATTTTATAATAAGTTTATTTTATTTTATATGTTATAATATGTTTATTTAAGCTCTACATAATAATGAGCACTTTACTGCATATTTTATATTGGTTAGTATTCATTAACTAAAAATGTGTTCAAATCAATAAAGAGAGAGTGAGGAAAAGTCAGACAGGCAAACAGAAAGAGAAGGAAAGGAATAATCTGAATAAAATATAATACATGTATTCCCCACTTTTCAAAAGTTCGTCTGAATCTTTACGAAATTCGTAGATGAGAATTGATTCTCTACTCGATTCAAAATCGTATCAAGCAAAGTAGCAATTAATTTTAATTTAAATGGGAAAAAAGTTTGCAGTTTTTAAAAGACACCCCCAAATAAACTTCTTGTATGTTTTCCTGTCACGATGTCAAAGGTCGAAGCTCGTTGTCTTCTGTGATTGATGTAGAAAGCTTGAAATACGATAATAAGCTTGACTGCTTAGACTCACGTATTTTTTCAGCTTGTCGGCACGTACAACATCCTGCAAACATATCTTAATACTACTTGACTCTTGAAATTTAAAACCATATTTTTTTCATTGCTGCAAAGTTAGTCGTAGCCCAGGTTTTAAGTAATCCTATTTTCGGGTCTAGGAATGCTGATACATTTTGAACTTCTAAATTATTGGTAATTTCTTCTTCGCTTGACACCATTTTGATTTACCGATGACTTCCAGAACGAGGCTTATCGGATATGGCACAATCGCCATATTTAAAACCACAACTGACATCTACGAAGGCCTTCAGAGCATTCGTATGAACTGCACAAATATCTCTGTTGTCGTACTACACATTTGGAATATATGCAATAAGCAATGAAAAACATGTTGCTTTTTAAAGTTATAACCCTCCATAGGATTAAACTCTGAACTATAAATGACACACCGTCTGCTTGAAGAGATGATAAACTAATTTTAGATATATTTTCCCATCATTCCATCTTCGTTCTGCCTTGGTTTCCGAAAACCCATATAGTCAAAGTCACAATGGAACATGGAGTCAAAGAAAGCTATTTAGAGTAAATTTATCTAAAATTGCGTTGTTTTGCCTTGGATGTCTGAACACTGAATATTATTTTATTATCTGTTGGTATAATATTTAAAAATTACTTGAAGTTTACATAATCAATTATTAGTCTTCTATTAAAACTTAAAATAATTTCTTGTTAATAATCAATTGGTTCTGCAATGTTATTGGTCCTCACCTGGCATCACATACTCAGTCCCTATCCCACCGCCCTAATGTAGCTTTCCTGTGCCTTTTCTATAAAAACTTTCATGGTCATTTTTCTGATGACATCTAGACTCTAGATTGGCGCCAAGGTTTCCCCATTTTACAATTGAATTGGCTAAATGTAACTATAAGTTCTTTGCTAACAGTTTTCCTCTATCGCACTTCTCGCCTGTGGAAGTCCTTTCCGGCTATTTGCTTTCCAACCAACTTTTAATTTAAATTCAATGTCAATCATTATCTACTGTCTTCTTAATTTCCCACATTGCGATAATAGAAGACCTACAAATAAAGGTGAAACATTGTAAAAACCTGAAAGTAAATTTACTGTGGATGATCTAGCGATGAAAACACTTTCTATAATTTTTCCTCTTAGTAAATTGCTTTCTCAATTATTTAAAGTAGCATTTTTAAATCAAAGTTATGGTTAAACTCATTACTGTGGATAACTAATACATTTGGTGTGTTGTTTTGTAAAGACCCTTTTGTGGCAATTTCACGCGGAAAATTTTTCCACTTTGTCATATATTTTCCTAAAAAAAATTTTATATATAAAAAATTATATATCATTTCTCATCTTATTTGTTTACGATTTCTACTTTTTCCTATTTTACAAAGCGCTTCATATGCGCTTCTATTTAAATCTCTCTAGAGAGAATGTTTTTAATTTCTCTTTTATGTGTATTCACTTTCATTATGTGATTTCCTCATGATTATTTTTAAATTATGCAAATAATATTACATAGCCACGCTGTTGCTTTCCTCTGGGCAGTTTTCTTTTTTTTTCTTTCGGTCTTTTTAACTACTGCATGATATTAATCAACACATTACTCAACGGTTTTCTCATAATAAACCTAACGAAATTTTCTGAAGAATATTAACAAAGATAAAACTAGAAAAAAAATGAATGCAAACAACTTGGCGCTATTTAAATAGACTTCTGGTCCACTTGTAAAAATAGACAACTTTTTGGCGGTGGGGGCGGACATATTTTGCAGATTAGACCTTCCTTAAGCCGCAACCACTCGTCAGAATCAAACAATATTAACTTTTTATCATTTTAGGAAGTGGGGGTTCTGTTTATAATATCGATATGGTGTAAAATCGATCCCTGACATTTTGCATTTTTTAGAGAGTTATTTGGATTTAGCTATTCTGCCTACAAAAACAGACTACCTTTTTATTCTTTTTTACAAAGGCTTACGCCCACATTACGTTAAAACACCGTTTCCCGTATGATCACCGAAGTTAAGCAATCCTAAGCCTGGTTAGCATCTAGATGGGTGATCGCTTGAAAATACCAGGTGCTGTAAGCTTGGTGGTGTGATTGATAATTGGCTCGGAATTGTTAATCAGAGAGCCGAGTCCCAATGTCCGTTGGGTTCGTTATATACGTATAAATAAATTAGGGAAAGGTATGAATTCACATCTTCTCCTCCAGTTATGGGTTCATTAGTAAAACTTGTATCACTAAACCATAAGCATTTCCAAAGAAAGTTTCTTACAATCTAAAGATATTTTCTGGCTTGAAATAACCTTCAAAGCGCTGGTAAACTGTAAAAAACGACTCAATCAATCAACCATTTTACAAGGAGCTTTCTTTTAAATAAAGTACAAATTGATGGATACATTTTTAATTAAAAAAATATATATATATAGTAAATACATTAGTACATGTAGCAAATACATTATTGTTGTAGCATACCTACGGACGATAATGGGCATTTCCCCATTCACATAAGTACAGTAATAAATACTGTATGTTTGTCTGCACTCTAAGATTCATCTTCATCTATGCTGGTCAAACTCTGTGCCTCCGGGCAGAGAGGATCCCAAGTCTAGGCTATGTCGAAGGGCAAAATCTCGTCTCGGGAAATAGCTACCTGACCCCTTTTTATACGGGGTCTACGAGGAATTTTTGGCCGAGCCTATCATAATGAATTCGACTTTGTGCCACATCTGACCGCGTGGGGCTGTTGGTAAATATCCTGCAGTTGGAAATTCATTATGGAATTCACTTGACTCACTTCAAGCAGTTGACTACTTCTACGCGCCGCTGGCGAATCTTATATGTGTTTTTCTTGTCCTAAGTATTATCGTTCATTACCAACGTTCGTGTGTTATTCTATTCAGTAACCTTCCCTAGATTACAACAATTAGTAAATGTAGTAAACTTATTAGTAAATGTATATATTCGTTTATACTTCATTTTAGGTGAATAATTATTATACATTAATGTGCGTGTGGTTTCGAATTAACTCCTTTTAAAAAACTGTTTTAAGCTTTAAAAATGAAGATATCTTGCAATGAAAATATCAATGATATATACTCAGTTTCAAACAAGATATTTGTAAACAGAAACTGTCCAATATTTCTGTATAAATTCGATTTGTGACTTCATCGATATTATAAATACGCTCCTCTTCTAAATAAATAAAAAAACATACTTTTAGAATCTATCACATGTCGTAGGCCGGGGATGGTCTGATGAATCGATAAAGTATTATTCACCGAAATCTATACGAGTAGACCACTCTAATTAAGTTGTGCAAACAAATCTCATTATCAACAGCAGAAAACAATCTTATAATTTTAATTTTCTGTTTTATTTTACAGAATTAAGAATGTCCTCAAAATGGCCACTGGTCGCCATGCTGTGCCTTGCAGTGGTCACGTTATTCCAAGCAACTCGGGGAGATGGACAGACATCGTTAGGACTTGGTGCTACAAATCCGGCCAATTTTCACACGGAGAAAAGCTCCGATATAAATACCAATATAAATATGGGCACAAGCTTCCACGAGTTGGAACAGGAACACACAAATATGCATGCCAACACCAGATTACAAGGTGACGATTTACCAAAGCTGCCGGAAGGTCATCAAGAAGCAACAGAAGGGAATCGAAGCGAGTTTCATCGTGTGCATTTAGTCGAGGTGAAATTCGAAGAAGTGGAAAGTCCATTCATCGTATGCTGTGTTGTGCTAATTGCAGCCCTCAGTAAACTTGGTGAGTCATTTTCACAGTATTACTGTTTCCTTTAAAGAATTCTTCATCTAATACAATGCTCTACAGCCACTCAAAACGGTGGGGTTGTAAGAGGAGAAATTAGAAAGTGAAGATTATGACTATATGCAGGATAGATAATAATTGATCCTAAACGTGAAGAGGTTGAGGTTGTGGTGGGAGAAGCAACCACGGGGGAGTTTGACAAAGTACCGTTTTTTGGAAAGCATCTCTCTCAGTGGGACATCGTTCTTAGAAATACGAAGCAAGAAGAGAACGACAGCTGTAAAGATCTTAACTGGTGGAACTAAAAACAGAAATTGTCTGAACATTTGCCATGGAAATGGTGATAGAATAGCGACGCTTTGACTATTCTTAATAAAGTAGTTAATACGAATTATATATATATATATATATATATATATATATATATATATATATATATATATATATATGACATCTTTTTTATAAATAAAGTCTCCATTCATTCTTAATCACTAAATATACTTTCATTTCAATGAATATCTATAGTAAAATCCTAATCAATGCAATTAATTTATATAAATATTAATATATATATATATATATATATATATATATATATATATATATATATATATATATATATATATATATATATTTCGAGAATATTTCACATTGAACATGAAGAAAAATTAATTATTTTTAATAATATGTAGAAATCTCCACTTTTTACCTGAAGACGGTCGCAGACCAGAAACACGTGTCGTAAAATTATGTAAAACAAAGCATAATATTTTTTCTAAATAAATCCACATTACAACCAAAAACGTTTGCGGCACCTCTCTTCTTTTTAATATACATACTTTTCTCTCGTTGGAACCACTACAAAATATTTCTTTTATATATATATATATATATATATATATATATATATATATGTGTGTGTGTGTGTGTGTGTGTGTGTGTGTGTGTGTGCAGGGCACGTAAATAAAAAACCCAATTAGTGTTGTCTGTTTAAAAAATGTTTTAATTACTTAAGTGTTTGTCTATATTTCTGAGATGAGGTATTATGTACACTATTTACATTATTCGGACTATTGTCCTAATCTTTGTCGCCATATTTATTACAACGTTTCGGCCGTTGTACGCCCCGGCCTTCTTCAGGTGGTTGGAATGTCGAGCTAACCCTTTATTTCGCTCACTGGGGTTCTAGTTCTACATATGGAGAGAAAAGGGAGATCACTGCCCACTGTGGGATCAGGTTGAGATCATAGACAAAGAAGACTATTGGAAAATTCGTAAACTTAAGGAATCAGCACATATGCTAGGCCACAAAAATCTCCTGAGCCGACCAAGCATAGAAATGAATACAATATAGGAACCAGTAACAAGGAGTGCTAGAGAAAATCGATAATAACAACAAAAATTGCAATATGATCTCTGGTAAAAATATACCATGATAACAGCAAAAAAAATGATTGCTGTTAAAAAATGATTGCTGATGAGATTAGTTTTATAATACAGAAAAATTCATACATAGATGTCCTTAAGGACACATGGCACAGTGGATAAAGTTAGATCCAGTGACAGGATGTGTGTTCAATATCCGGTTAGAACTTGGAGAGGGGAATTAACAGGAGATAACTGAGAGCTGACATCCATTAAACATGAACGTGGAACTAGAACAGTCTACCCCAGTGAGCGAAATAAAGGGTTAAGTTCGACATTCCAACCACCTGAAGAAGGCCGGAGCGTACAACGGCCGAAACGTTGTAATAAATATGGCGACAAAGATAAGGACAATAGTCTGAATAATGTAAATAATGACTTCAGTGATACTAAAAATTCTATAAGCAATTTTTAATCCCTACTTTCCACCCACACTGTATATTTGAATGTATGTTGAAAATTACATCTCAAGTGAGTGCTACAAGTAATCTCCCTTTACCGGAAGTCAGAATAAGAAACACTTTTTAAGAGCTTACGTTACGCCCTTACAACAAGCTCAATGAGTAACTACCTTGAGTTACTCTTGGGCCTTGGGTAACAATAGTGTAAAAAATCATCATGCTGCGTTATTTTCTACTGACGTTTCTTTTTTATTCTTAAGGATTTCAGTCAGTATGAATTTTTGTAGACGATGCATGCTCTCGAATGCTTAGTGTGGAATAGGTGTGTTGTCCAGACACCAACCGAAGCTAAATAAGTTCTTTTTTCCACTACTTGAGAACAACCTACGTGCAGATCCATCGACGGATTCCAATCAGTTTTATCTACTAAATTTCACTACCAAGGCTTTTGTTGAATTGTCGTATGGTTTCCAAGTAATCCTCAACAGTACGGCACGTTGTTATCATCTCTCCGTGACAAATTATAAAGATGTCACCATGGTGGGTTTCGAACTAGAGTTTCATGGTCGGAACGCTAACGTTCTATCCACTAGGCCATTCACTGAATAGACGCATACAGAATTTCGCTGTAGCTTCATCTTCACTGTAAAAGCCGGACATTCCTCGTTAACATCCGTGACAAGTCTCAAGTTGAATGGTCAACATCCTCACAATGTTTCCCGCTCTTTCGCCACTGTGGCGTGAAATTGAGATGTGAGACTCAGTGTAAAAGATAATCTAGTTTAAATACTCATGCTTTTCATCATGTAAATTACGTTTAACTTTTTCAAATTCATGCCCTGTGATATCGTTGGCTTAAAAGTTAAAAGGTCTCAGGTTCAATATTTATAAGACATAGCCAGGTAGTGATCATATGATACAAATATTCACAGAATATTTACGGAATGTTCTGTTGTTATTGAAATAATTATTTAATTGCATTCGACTTATCTTGTTCTTTCTCTTATGTTATGTTCATCTAGCATAGTACCCGTCACAGAAAACTAACACGAGACAAATAAAAAGAAGGCAACAGCAGCAACAGCTTTGTTGCTATAGTAACTCCGAGTGGCATGAAAGCGGGACTGATAAATATATTAAATTTCATTGTATTCTCTCTCTCTCTCTCTCTCTCTCTCTCTCTCTCTCTCTCTCTTCCACTTTCATTCAGTTTCTCTTTCCTATTTTTCTCTCTCTCACTTCGTCGATTTCAATCTCCCTCTCTCTCTCTCTCTCTCTCTCTCTTTCTTCCACTTTCATTCAGTTTCTCTTTCTGTCTCTCTTTCCCATTTTTTTTCTCTCTCACTCTCTCTCTCTCTTCGTCTATTTCACTATCCCACTCTCTTTTCTCTCTTCATCTATTTCGCTCTCTCTCTTTCTTCCACTCTCATTCAGTTTCTCTTTCTGTCTCTCTTTCCCATTTTTTCTGTATCTTTCTCTCTTTTTCTCTCTCCTGTCAGTTCTTTTAGCAAATTATCATTATTGCATAATATAAAAATTAATTTCTCTAAATTAAAAGACACAACTCACAAGCTATAAACAGTAATTTTGATCTTAGTGATAGCTACAAAGTGTTGTATAGTATTTAGCAAACTGGTTTGGTGAGCAAAATTGCTGAGTGCTCAAAAAATGTAGCCTTGTGTCAAAGTTGATCTCGTTCAGCAAATATATATTCTGAACATCTGTTTTCGTCGTAATTTTATTTGTGCAAAAGAAAAGGAGGCGACAAAAGAACTAAAAGAAAATATATTAGGTCAGTTCTTTATTCCTTGTGATACGTAATCTTTAAGATTTGACATTAGGTTAGCAAAAAATAATGACTGAATATAAAATACATGTTTCCTGCTGTTTACTATTTACCTGGTGGAAAATCTATGGTAACAATGAAGTAGGTGAAAGCATGTGTCAGGAATGATTGGCGAAGTTTGAAAAATACATTTTTTAAGTCAAGCACAAAGAGCGCTCTGAGAAAACTTCTGATGAATTGGAGAGACCTTCAAAAGGATAATGCAACACAAGCAGCATTCGAATTAAGATTACAACTGGAGTTTGAATAAAGCACAGGAAAAGAAAAAAAGACCATTGGCTGAACAAGAAATTCGACCGGCTATCTTGCAGCCTAACATCGCTTGTCCACATGTTGCAAACACAACAAATCAAATGATCACAGAGAAAGGAGAGGAAGCTCTTTAAGAGTTGGCCTTTTCTGTACACCTGTCATCTTCAGATTGTCTCTTATTTCGCTCTATGCAACATCATCTATCTGGTCTGCTGTTTTAACAATTTGGATTTAAATAAAAATGGAAGAATTCATCGAATCAAAATCGGAATCGTTTTCTTTATGATAACAGAAAAATAAAAATCATATAAAGGCTGTGGTGATAGAATAATGATAGTTTTTAAAATAAGTTTTTTTATCAAATGTGTACAAAAAACTTTTTATTGCCCTGGAAAAATAAATTTTCAATTTATGTTTGTTTAAGTACTTTTCATATGTGTGTGTGTGTGTGTGTGTGTGTGTGTGCGCGCGCGTGCGTGCGTGTGACGTGTGTGTGTGCGCGCGTGTGTGCGCGCGTGTGTGCGCGCGTGTGTGACGTGCATAGTTTCATGTAACTCTTGTTTGGTCAGCATTTCAAAATCTAAAAATCTCCTTCGGTTATTTTATCGAATCATGGAATTGTTCTTTTATAATGGAATACATAATTTAGCTGAAAAGTGGCGTAATTTCAGTGAAATCCAGAGAGAACATTTTAATAACTGAATAAAGAGGCTATGAATTCATATGAGTTTTCAAATATTGTAAGAATAATGCTGAAACAAAAAATTTATCCGCCAAATAGAAGAAATTGTATGTGGCGTTATACTAAACATCGCAAATTATTTATCCCTTTTTTCTGTTGAGTGTTGCTTCTGATATGTTCATTATGCTAAGAATAAAATAAAAGATTAGCTGTTCTCTTGTTTCGTGGCTCCACCATTCGGAACTGAAGCCGATATACACTATTTACATTATTCATACTATTGTCCTCATCTTTGTCGCCATATTTATTACAACGTTTCGGCCGTTGTACGCTGCGGTCTTCTTCAGGTGGTTGGAATGTTGAACTGAATCCTTTATTTCGCTCACTGGGGTAGACTGTTCTAGTTCCACCTGCCATGTTTAATAGATGTCAGTTATCAGTTATCTCCTGTTGATTTCCCTCTGAAAGGTCTCCACTGCCTTAACCGGGTATTGAACTGACACTCTTTGGGTCCTGTCACTGGATCTAACTAACGCTTTTATCCACTGTGCCATGTGTCCGAATAATGTAAATAATGTACACAATACCTCATCTCAGAAATATAGACAGATACTGAAGCCGATATGTTTAAAATTTGAATTCTAAATACAAACACCTTGCGTCACCATAAAAAAATTAAAGTTTTCTTTCATTGTATTAAAGTGATTTGAATCTAATTGATTTCCTTGTTCATTTTTTTTTAGGTTTTCATTATTCAAATTTTTTATCGTCGATTGTTCCAGAATCATGGTAAGTGCATCTTCTATATTATTACATTTTCTATTATTACATAATGATATGACGTGAAATAATAACAATTTTATATCATTCTTGTCTGAAGTTTTCGACGAAGTTTTTGAACCATCTGAGCCAATAAATGTGGGGCTCTTAAAATAATTACCAAATATATTTAGTTCGCGATGTTCATCCAGTTTGTTTAAAGAGTACAGGATTAGAAGATGATCCAAAAAACACAGAAACACAGTCACCGGATGTGACGTGTATGAAAGGCGAAGTGGATGTCCTCTTAGAAGTTTAGACTTACTATGATACTTGAGGACGGTCGGAGGCAAAAGCAACCGAAAACTTGAAATGAAATAAATTAGTTAAAATACAATGTTACTTATAAAAAGGTACAGTTTTCTTTCAATATATCCTGTTTAAGAAATGTGTTTTCAACATGGTCGATTTATCAAAAAGGAAACTTTCTGATGTTATTGGAATGGAGGGGCCGATTCCAACGTGCACCACCTTTAGAAAGTACCTGAAAACCAAACCACTGGTTGACCGAAGCCTTTTGAGTGAAATTGAGTAGACTGGACCCCAGGAACCGTCTATAGCTGTGCTAGCACAAAGTTACAAGTCATCGTGACCGAGGGCTTAAGTGTACTGGCCTTGTTCAAATTGTTGATCACGTTAGATAACACGGTCTCTCCCAGAAAATCTAACTAAGGTCTGCTTAGCATAGTTGCAGTATAAACCACAGGTGGGCTTTGTGGGCGTTGAACAAACACAAATACGCCTGAGCAAGCTTCTGCAATAGGCATTGGCTAGCCGCCCTAGTAGACAGGTATCCTCGAATACGAGTGGCCAGCTATATATATATATATATATATATATATATATATATATATATATATATATATATATATATATATTTACAAATAATTGGTTCCATTTTTGATAAGTGATTAAATTTTCATGTGGATATTTTTATGCTTACTTTACACTTCTTCATTTTTTTTGTTGTCATTTCTAATTGCTATTTCAAAAAACGAAATGTAATATTATGGATTTTGCTTTCTAATGATTGAGAAATATTACTTCCGGGTATCAGTGTTTACGACCTATGTATTAAATGCTGATTTTCAAGACAGACAAAACCTCTCGTACTTGGAAAATTGATGTAATACAATCCTTCTATCTCTTCCCTCGTCGTATTTGACCTTGTGCCATACTAACGACCTGCTTCAGGTGGTTAGAATGTCGAACTGAACCCTTTATTTCGCTCTCTGGGTTAGACTGTTCTAGTTTCATGTGCCATGTCTAATGGATGTCAGTTATCAGTCATCTCCTGTTAATTCCCCTCCAATTACAGGTTATTGAACTCACACTCTTTGGGTCCTGTCACTGGTGCTAACGCCTTTATCCACTGTACCATGTTCATGAATTTCTGGGAATTATAAAACAACCGTTTTTACCATTGCAATTTTTGCTGTTATCATTGCATTTTTTTTTTTTTTTTACCAGTGCTTATATTGCAATTTTTCGTTGTAATTATTGCTTTTCTCTTTAGAAAATAAAATGTCAATAATTGAGTTATCGGCTAATGGAAGATGGTAAACAGTCGTTAAGTTTAAAACTTGAAATTACATAAATGGATCAGTGTTTGCTCTCAGTGATAAGAACATTTTCTTATGAAAACAAATCTTTTGTTAGTTTTTTAGGAGATCTGCATTCGTTATTTTCCCGTAACAGTTTTAACTAAACCGACTCGTGTTTTTTTATGGTTTAAAAGGGGTTAGTTTCAATTCCCTGATAACAAAGACAATATTTTATCATGTAAAGAAATACATTAAACTACTCTGGGTTTTCTAATTTTATCAATCCTCGCTTCAAAGCGATAGATTCAGCTCTCTTTCCACAGTTACAAATCCGCTTCCAAAAGTTGCAAATCATTACGCAATCATGAATATTAAATCTGATTAGCAATCGAATACCGTCGCTTGTCTCGTATTGAAATGTTGGTTTTCGGCATTTTTACACAAATGCTGTAAGAAATTTCTCTGAACACCTGTTATATAGAATCTCAAGCCTTCGTTAAATAAATGAAGGGAAAAGAAACTTAGAAGGTTTACAATGTCACATATAGATCCCAAATCGAATTTGTCATAATTTTCCATCGAAAGCAACGAAAGACAACAATCAAAACAGCTGCTTAAATAGTAAGCTTTTAATTTTGTTAATTCATTCAAATTATTATTATATTATTATATGAATTTATTGCAGGTTCATTATATAAGAAATAACCTGGTTTGGTTTGGTTTGGTTTGTTTTACGGTATATCAACCTCAATGGGTTATTTAATGCCGACAAGATTTTTACTGCTGGTAATATTTTCCCGAAATGTATTGCTGGTAATACCCTTTTCCTCAAAAATGAATTACTGGTAATACTTTTTTCCTGTAAAAAATATATTGCTGGTAATATTTTCCCGTAATGTATTGCTGGTAATATTTTCCCTTCAAAAATGTACTGCTGATATTTTTCATTCAAAAATGTATTACTGGTAATAATGTATTGCTGATGATAATTTTCCCTTAAAAAATTTATTGCTAGTATTAAAATCTATTTTTACACTTTCATAGTGTTCTAACCCAAGTTTTGGGGTTAACTATTTGCTACCACCCCGGATCAGGATGGACCTGGAAACACCAGAAATTAAGAGGTTGTTTCCCGCTCCTGAAAACCTCCTGATCAGAGGCCTTGCTGTTGGACATCTTATCCAGGACGCGTATGTAGATTATCGTCTTAATCAAGACGCCGGGTGTAGTTTATTGTCATACCCAAGACGGAGAATTAACCTGTGTGGATCATCTTAACTGACATCAAAGGCAAAATCTCGATACCAGCCACTTGGTATAACAATCTTTTCTCATGTCCAATCTATAGACTTGTCTGGACATTATTGGAAGGATTAAACTTTTATGAGAGATATAAGGGAGTGAGTTGAAACTTGGATTGAGGAATCAAAGAGCCGTGTTCGAGTTCTTTACATTCACTTGGGAAAGGTGTGAATCCACCACCCGCACCTATGGATTAAATAACAGGACAGACTTGGTGTTATAGCCTTGGAGGCAACCGGTTCAGGAGAGGGACAATTCTTAATTCAAAACCTCCAACAATAGGTTAAGTAGCCTTATCAACTGGCAATTGGCCAAGCTTGGTGAATACGGCTCTGTCCCTGAAGATGGTTAGTATAGCTCTACCCATGAAGACAATTAGGGAAGGGTCCCTCCAACGAGGGAAGATCCTGCATTGAATTGGACTGAAAGAGATATAAACACAGTAGAACTAAAGCAAAATTAAGCTGAACACGAATGCAGAGATCATCATCATCATCATCATCGTCATCATCGCCATTATTATTATTATAATTATTATTATTATATTTATATATACTTGTTTTAATTTTAGGGTAACATACTAGTGGTCTGAATTTCTGGGATTGGGAATTATCATTATTTACACTATTTGCACTTTGTTGTTGTCAGGGCTGACGCTAGGGTCTCTCCCACGAGGAAACTTTGATACGCCTCACCCCTCTCTACTATATGTCGATTTTAAAATTTCACAACCTGGGGGCCACAAACCCTAGAAGGAAAATTGGGGGGGGGCGATTTTTTAAAATTACCAAAAATCAGGGAATTATCCAAAAAGGCCGATGAGGTACAAAGGCCGAAAAGTTGTGATAAAATCAACAAAGATGAAGAAAATTACCCACTTGTAAATAATGAAACACACTAGTTCCTACATTGTTCTCTGAAATTCCAATATATGAGAATATGAGCCGTTATCTCAGCAATAAATCTCTCGCCAGTCATTCAATAATAGTAATTGATTTCACTGTCTTCATCTCCTGCAGCCTGTTTAAGTTGATGAATGCAGCCATAATCCTTGCTTTCAGTTCATCTTTGTTATTACAAGGAGTTTTGTTAGTCTCTTGCTCAACTGCGTCCCACACACAATAATCAGAGGGGTTGTAGTCTGAAGAGTTAGGTGGCCGGATGATGTGATCACAGAAATTGTCTGACAGTCATGAATGTGTTCTCCTGCTTGTGTAACATGAGGCAGAGTCCTGTTGCTAGACATAGGGTCTTCCAGCAGACACCTTCTTGATCCACGAAAGCACATCAAGGCACTTGATGTAGGCCTCCCTGTTGAGTCTGAGTCCCTCACTAGCAAAATCGGGAATTCTTTTCTTATCATAACGATCTCTGTGTGTTTTCCGAGCTGCCGTACCTTCGTAATCACCATTAGACTCATCCAACTCTTTGTGAATCATCTCCACTGTCTCCACAAACAGCACAGTATGCAATTTTTTAATTTCTGGTGGAGTTAATTGCTTCATGATGCTCTTTTTCTCACAGACTGTGCCCAAATGACATGCGCAAAATTAAAAATATAAAATGTCGACAATTTACCCCTCGCACCTTGTAAACGTTGTTTGGAAGGGCTCAGAAAAGAAATCCGAAAAACCAGGATCACCTATGGGAGTTATTGAAAGACGAATGGGAGGGAATTACTGCTGATTTTTGCAAGAAATTAATTAGATCATGTGGTCGACGATGCAGAGAAGTCATTGAAAATAAGGGGATGTTTACCAAATATTAAATTTTGTTGATATTTTGTTCACAATCAAGTATTAACAAGATCGTTCCTTAACTTTTGTCCTGTAGCTTATTTCCTTTGTTCCATTTAATCTTTATTTTTAAAAAAACTATTATGTAAATTTTGGTAACTTTGTATAATATTTATGCATTACACCCTAATCTTTATTCGGTAAAAATTTCATTGCTAATCATGCATTACTTTTTACTTTTTTTTTTTTCTTTGTTGTTTCCGTTCCTTATATTATGGCCGCTGCTGTATAAAACAACAATGCATGGTGAATATAAGTTTCCGCTTCAGTTCCTTCTTCTTACAAAGTAGAAATGTGGAATTGGTAGTCACCATGCAGTATCGATTTCTATTTCCACTCTCTCTCTCTCTCTCTCTATATATATATATATATATATATATATATATATATATATATGGGAAGGGGCGTTCTTTTTTTCGATATCCTAGAATTCATTTGAGATCTACTCTCCATTTTCTTTTATTTTTCAGCATGCTAATCATTGTTGGAACAATTGTCGGGGCTATTATATAGTAAGTACTTTTTTAATATACATTCGATTTTATTAATCATTTGTCAATGAAATAAATTCCTGATAAAGAATTGTTTGCTTATTTCTTTTAATCAACGAACCTTATTTCCATTGTTTTCATACATACATGAACGCATGCTGGACAGTAGTCAATGTACGTAAATAATTTGGACTAGACTGGACTGTGCTCAAATAGATGAAATATGTAATCAATGCCCGCTCTTCCTTCTTTCTCTCACGTCCTCTCTTCCTTTACCTTTTAAGTCATGTGATGCTGATCTCAATATCTCTCGGACATTATTTAATAATATATAGCGATCAATATATCGATATATCGTAAAAACAAAATACCTATATACAATTACAACATTTTCAACAAAAAGTCTTTCATAAAGTATTCAAATACGCATATATTCAATTTTTCAGGGAAAAACCAGGAAGAGGGCCCGAAATATTGAAAAGAAAATCCTTAAAAAGAACTTTTGTTGGCTTATAACCACATTATACGAAAGCCCAAATATACACTATATATATATATATATATATATATATATATATATATATATATATATATATATATATATATATAACAGTCCATTTTCAAGGTAAAAAATGGCAAAATTGAACATCTTCATTGGAAAAGAAAAAACTCAAAGACATGCGTAGTGCTTGGGCTTTGTTCTTTGTTAGAATTTGCGGCTGAGGTCTTAAAAGTGGCTTATGCTAAGTCTGGGGGCACCATCACAGTTTCGTTTTTAGAAAATGATGTAGACTTTATATTTTATGTCATGTTACACATACATTTTGTACAGTATTTTCAATGCTTATATCGATCTCTGCGGAATTAAAAATGGTTATTGTACGTATGAAAGTAAATTTACGCTGCATGTAAGTGTATGGTCACCAATACTATTTTTCAAAAATGTTTTTAAAAGGGCCTGCAATGTTTCTAAAGTGGTTAGGATGAAAGTTTAAGGCATGTGAGCTTTTAACAATAAAAATAGGTAATTGTAAGCACTTCTGGTTCCTAAAACCCGCGAATATGAAGTTCTCACTGTACACATATATATATATATATATATATATATATATATATATATATGTATATATATATATATATATATATGTATATATATATATATATATATATATGTATATATATATTATTATTATTATTATTAATATATATTAGATTATTTAACTTTTAAATATCAATTTTATCTTGATTTCGAAGTTTCTTGGTAAAATTGGAAAAAAAATTTTAAAAAATATTGTTTAAAATCAGAACATCCTGAAAACTGTAAATTTTACCAAGAAACTTCGAAGTCGAGATAAAATTGATATTTAAAAGTTAAGCTAATCTTTTTATATAATATTATTAATGCTATATTTTTAATCTTATTTTAATATTTTTAATATTATATTTATAAAATATATATAAAAATATCCGCTGTTTCTTAAATCTTATATATATATATATATATATATATATATATATATATATATATATATATATATATATATATATATATATATATATATATGCCAGAATTCGAACTTGCGTCTCCCTGGGCCAAAATTTCGCCAGAGAGCCTGAATTTTCTATAAGATTTCTCAAACATTCAAACCGATAGACTAAAAATAAATGAATATACTGTTTAATAAATAAACGGGGCGTCTACTCAAATACAAAATAACGTTTAAATTGATAAAAAATCTGCCGGATTAATAAAAATCCATTTCTTTTTTTAGAAAATTGCCTTGTTTACGTTTGGATACTGGGGTCTAGGAACGCAGGTTCGAAGTTTTAGATAGATAGATAGATAGATAGATAGATAGATAGATAGATAGATAGATAGATAGATATTGATATATATTCCCAAGTATAAGATTGGCGTAGACGGAATAAAATTCCAATAACCAAAAACACTATTCTAAAAAGAGTGCTCATTACAGAGTAGAGCAAATATAATTTATTCGAAAACTCCTTATTCTACATTCAACACCATTACTTGAGAAGATACCAGAAGTGTTGAAAGAAAATGGCTATTTTTGTAGTGATATAATACATTTATGTTATAATTTTTGAATAAATTATATATATATATATATATATATATATAAAGTGGAAAAACATTTATGCAAACGCGTTTCGTAAATCGAGGAAATTTATCAAGGCAAGTGTAGAATTTCTACAGCAAAATAATCTGAAGAATAAATAAAATAATTTTGAATTTTGAAATTGAATTAGAGATCGCTCTAAATTTCATCTTGGGATTGTAAACAGTACTAATTTCACTATTTGTATTTCAGAATATTGTCCTCATCTTTGTTGTTATCACGTTAACGTTTTGGTGATTGTACCCCACGCTGTGATACCAATAATAAAGATGAGGACAATAATCTGAAATATAAATAGTCAAGATAATAGATCCTCATTCCTTAAATTCAGGCAGAAAAGTTCTAATTTCACCGACAGAATATAATCACTAACAACAAATCCCTGAAACTTAATTAATTGCAAACGATAAATATATATTTATTTTTGCTGAATTATTTAAAAGGAATTTTCTATTATTCAAACTCTGGAAAGCAATTATAGATTAATAAAATGATATTGTAAATTGCCAACGTTTGTGTATGCAGAAGATTGAAGTGAATGAAGCTAAAAAGACGGCATATGTGATATACAGTCATTTGCACTGATTGTATTGATTCTGCGAACAAATTTCTTTGTGATTTGGCAGACATTTGTAATTACTAACTCAGCTCTACTAAATCAGCTCGACAATCTTAGCTCACAAAAATATGTCCGTTGTACTAATTGAATATACAGATTTTAAACCAAAATTTACGATCCTTATAATGAATCAAGTCGGACACAAAAATTTTTTTTTTTTAAATATATTGTACATAATCACTGCTTGACTGACCAAAATATGTAAGAGTTATGCTAAGTAAATGAAAGTTTTACAGCGTCCATTTTTCAGTGTTACAATTCAGATATGAGAGCCGTAATATAGAGTGGCAGTTTGGATTCTTGCAAAGGTTACCCTTTATACTTCATCTGCTTTCAATCTTTTCACAATCGTTTTATTCAATTGTTTATGTAATTTATTAATCCTGAATAGAAACGAAATGCGTCACATGCCCAGATACCCTTTTCTTCTTACGGAGAATTACGCATATAAATCAATATATGAATACACACAAAGAAACATGTGCACACACCTACATACCACATATATATATATACAGTAACTCCTTATCACACACACACACACACACACACACACACACACACACACACACACACACACACACACACACACACACACACAAATATACTTTTTTTATCGGGCAGAACAGAATGTATATTTATTATTATCAGACAATATATATATATATGTGTGTGTGTGTGCGCGCGCGTGTGTTTATGTGCGTGTGTGTGTGTGTACAGACAATGAAATCACTTTTTTCCGAACAGACAAACAGTAAAAAACATACGCATACACACATGAGTACAATATTTATGAAACATTATTTAATCACACACACACACACACACACACACACACATATATATATATATATATATATATATATATATATATATATATATATATTATAAATTAATTGATTTAAAATATGGTTTTGAGCACTATTTTGTAAAAATAAAATATCTATAAGAACACCGGATTTTATATCTTACTGTTCTTTTTTTTATTTATATATATATATATATATATATATATATATATATATATATATATATACTATTTTCAATATTTATTGTATTTATTGCAGATCGTCATATTTTATGGTTATGGATTCTAGTCGCCTTGCTACATTCATATATTTTCCCCGAATATATTTGTTATAAAAAACTCGAATTTTTTTTTTAAAATCGGGAAATTAATTTTTTAATAACAGGTCTATTAATAATACTGTATCAAATCTCATCAATTGTGGCATATATATATATATATATATATATATATATATATATATATATATATATATATATATATATATATATATATATATATATATATATATAGATAGATAGATAGATAGATAGATAGATAGATAGATAGATAGATAGATAGATAGGATATAATCTCTGCAACAATCAGTGTAGAGATAAGTGAACATTTGGCACTATTAAGGTTCTATCATTTGGGTATTGAGCACTAGAATTACAAAGACTGCTTGCCTTAAAAACGCTATTCTTCATACATATTCTAATCGACCAGTTTTTAGTTTTATATATATATATATATATATATATATATATATATATATATATATATATATATGGGGGTATGAATGTGTGTGTATGTATGCATGCGTTTGTGTGTATGCGTCTGTGTATCTGTGTGTTTGCTCGTGCGTGTGTGTCTGTGTGTAGTAGAAGTACTCGTAATACCAGATTTAATCAATGTAGTCATTATATGATTAATATTAACCCACGAATTACGTGAATTTACAGAAGGAGATTATGCTGCAGAATAAATGTTTCTTTTTGTGTAAAATAAATGCAAAAGCTGTAATGTATGATTTATACACAATTATCTATTTTTCAAAATAATCTCTTTTTTGTCAACGGTTGCTCTTACATATCAGAATAAGTGGGGGGCGTGTGTGTGTGTGTGTGTTTGTCAATTTAAATGGTTATAGTATCTGACATAAACATAAAACAAATTAGTTTTATTTTTTGTCGGACATTCTAAACAAAAATGACGCCAATGAAATTACACTGACGTTTTAAACTTTTTTTTCCTAGTAATGCTAAAATTTAATGTGCCGCCATTATTAGTTTGACTGGTTTTTGCTGAAAACACATACGGGTTTAACGCTATAGTTATTGTACTTACGGCGCCATCTTCCATAACTAAGCTTGTTGAACCGGCTGCACGCCAAAGCATCTGACTAAAAAATTGCATTTACTTATCTGTCATTCACTTCCCTCTTTATTTAACTTCTGCCCGTAGCGCTGACCTCCAACAAATTTAAAGAGTCTTTTCTTCTCCGGGTGAATCTCTTTCATATGATTCGTAGAGATATTTACTTATTTCTGTTTAGTCTACCATAATGTTGCAATGCTAGGACACCGAGTGAAAATACATTAGGAGGAGTTTTGATGCAAATGAAACCTGTTAACCCGGACTGAGGATACCATAAACGCCCTTGCGACATAACTGTCTTCCCATTCGTAAGGGTCAGTCACTTGTTTGGACATTAATTGCAGTGATACTTTCGTTAACTGGTTATTTCTAGGTTTGGTGCTTGTCGCAGGTGAGACTTCCGGCAATATTAATTCCCCGAAGTAGTGTATGACAAGGGCGTGTCTTCTCACCGGACTTATCTGTTGTATACAATGAGGAGATTCTGAGAGAAGTAGAAGTCATACCAGGATTTGTTATTGGCGGCCACAATCTTAACAACATAAGATATGCAAATGACACAGTGTTGATGGCAAACACAGAAAGGAAACCACATGAACTGCAGAAGGTAGTTATAGAAAGCAGGATGAAAGGATTAAACACCAATTATAATAAGACAGAATTTATTGTTATCAGTAAAAAGAAGAACCCAACAGTTACAAATTGAAGATATCGAAATCAAGCAAGTAAAATATTTTAAATAACTGAGAAATGTTTTAATCGGGGATGGAAAGTACGAAACTGAAATCCGAAGGCGCATTGGAATAGCGAAAGATGCTTTCCAAAATCTAAGCAAAGTATTAAGAAAGAGGAACATCTCGTTAGAAACAAAGAGAAGCGTACTTAACTGTCATGTTATATAAATGAAGCAGTTACTTGAGGCAACAGAATTGTGGCCCGACAGAATAATGCTAAGGATGCCATGGACTGAACAGGTGAACAATAACGAAGTTTTAGAGAAAATGTAAACAAAAAGGACAATTGTACTTAACATTAGAAAGAGACCGCTGACATTTTCTAATGAGGAAATAGGTTTGACACTCACAGGATATATTGAAGTCAGGAAGGAAAGAGGAAACCCCCTTGCCTAACGAGCTTTTTGGATGAGGTTGATAGACCAAGGTTTAGGAGATATATTGAAAAATCAAACTTATTTAAAGCTACAAAGGACAGGAAATAGTGGAGAGCCGTGGTCACCCATGTCCTGAAAAGATACAACACAAAGAAGAAGATTAAATTTATTTACTGAATAGACTCCATGTTAGTCCAATTCCACGTTGAACCATGGGAAACAATCAAGAGATGTTCCAACGATTCGACCGTCGCAATGCACTTGCCATTATGTCAATTAGAACTAAATCGATCGCTATAGCTAAATTGTTTTTTGTTTTTGTTTTTTAAATATTATCTTTCATTGCTTAAAAAAGCATGGTTAAGCATGAGAAACTTCGCATATACAAGAATATCTACCTTCCAAAAACTTATAAATTATTTGCAGTAGCATTTACGTATAATGGCGCCGCTAGGGTCCTTGATCGTGCTTAACAAATGAGCCAATCGATCAATCATTTCGACAAATTCTACACTCACTAAACCCAAAAGAGAAAACTCTCGGTTACATACGAGAAAAAAAAATTGTATTGCAACTGTGTTTCTGATAATAGCAATGGCTATTTTTATTTTATTTCTTTACTAGTTTGCTCGTAACGTCAAAAACTGGCGATCATAATCGATTGTACTAATAAATTATCAATAGCTTTATATTATTCAGCATTTTCTTGTCTATGTTCCACATTTGCTGAATATAAAAGTAATAAAATCATTTAGTAATTATAGACTGATCAAATTAACACAGCATGAAATTTTATTTTTACTAAGAGTTTCGTTTACATTAAAAATAAACAAAGGTGTTGTTTAAAGAGTTTACTACATAGAGATGAGAAATTCGACCATCTCTATCTCGGGGCCTCTTAACATAGCAAACCACACGCACACACACACATATTAGTTGGCATCGAATATAGAAGAAATAGGAATCGGAAGAAGTAGGAATTGTTTATCAATCTAACATGTTTCACTTTTATTAAATCTTCATCAGAGAATGAGGTATGGAGAGAATAGAAAAAAGAAATTCTGTCAATTTTGCTTTTGTATTGTTTGATTGACATTGATTAATCAGGTTTCATGTGCATTCGACTTGTTAAACAGACGTTAGGATAATTTGTGGCGTTCCGAATTCAAAAAACCTTACTGAAAAAAACCGTAAATAGTGCTTTGTAATGGTAAAATTTTAGTTTGTGTACGATTCAGATGATGATGTACAGTCATAAGTGTGTGTGTGTGTGTGTGTATGTGTATCTGTGCGTGTGTATGTGTGTGTATGTGTATCCGTGCGTGTGTATGTGTGTGTGTGTGTGTATGTGTGTGTGTGTGTATGTGTATGTGTGTCTAGTAGACGTTATGTTTGGTGGTTTTAGCATATTGATTTGGAAACGCTTTCATATATATCGTTTGTTTTAAATACCCCCACACACATATATATATATATATATATATATATATATATATATATATATATATATATATGTTTAAGAGTAGACACTGAGGTCAACACCGAATGGCTACAGTTAGTTTCATGCTACAAAGCCCTGGACTGAAGATTGTTTTTAAGCCTGAAACAGACTGTCGACAATCGGTGTTGTCTTCAGTGTTCACGCTTATATTTTCACATACTCTATCCATGATATTAACCACTTTTATTCATAAATAGGACATACCTTAAAAGCATATTTTTATCCTATACATTCATACATATACTCTGTCCTGGACATTCCTCTTGGAAATTTATATATATATATATATATATATATATATATATATATATATATATAGTTAAGTAACGAAAATCTTGGTAATCCGTATGGATAATCCCAAGCAGGATGAAATCCGGAGAGCTCAATGTTAACTCAGAGCGAATAATTTAATTTAAAGAAAAAACATTTTTTTTAAATTAAATATATTTATATATAAATTTAATTTAAAAGAAAAATGTTTTTCTTTTAAATTAAATTATTTATATAAATATATATATATGACTAATAATATTATATATATATATATATATATATATATATATATATATATATATATATATATCAAAAATATATTTTCTGTTTATACTGTATTTTTATAGATACAATTTATTTAAGTCAATGCTTTGTTTTTAATTAAAGATTTTTAATTACATTTATTTGCATGAATGTTCGAGAAATTTTGTAGAAAATATGCGTTTTCCGACAGGAATCGAACCTGTATTCCTATACGGATACCGTCATTTGATCTAAATGGTATAGCACGTCAGATCGGTTTCTGTATAGGAATAAAGTTTCGATTCCTGTCAGAGAATGGATATTTTCTACATTTCCCGAACATTCAGATCGGTAAATCTAATTAATACTGTTTATTTAAAAAAACAGAGCATTTATTTAAATAAATTGTATCTATAAAAAATAACTTATAAACAAAAAAATATATTAAATGATTGTCGGACTTAATTCATTTCATTATATATATATATATATATATATATATATATATATATATATATATATATATATATATATATATATTATAATGAATCATTCATACAAAAAAGTAGATTAGTAAAGTTAATGGTATTAAGGGCGAAAAACATCTTCGCAAACAAATTTATTAAAGTTACATTAACCTATGAACCACTCGATGAATGTTATGATCCTTGTTTTTAATAACTTCAAGTTGTATAAGGTCTTTTTTTTATTCTGCTAGTACTTTTGGCTGTACATTCAGCCATCCTCACGCATGGAAATTATTTTGTTTTTTTTAATAGATCCAGGTAATAGCCGACACGAAAAATTAAATGCGAATCGAAATTTGTTTTTGTTAGAAATGTGTTATATTTAACAGATAAAAACTTATGGAGCGTGCAGTCGCAACGCTAAGGTTGAATTGTTTTGAAAATTTAAGAGAGTACGTTTTTTTACTAATATGATAATTTGAGAATTTTTTTGTTGTAGGAGTTTTTTTCAGTCAATGTGGCATGAACTAAATTGTTCAATAAATAGAGTAATGTCGCAGCTGTTATCCCGATAATTTCATGTAATATAAATTGAACTGCACCACATATACTCTGAGTGTTTGACTTCAATGTTCACTTTTATATTTACATACGCTCTATCTCTGATATTGATCACTTTATCCCATATATACAGCATACCTTAAGACTATATTTCTTCCTATATATATATATATATATATATATATATATATATAATCTAATTTAGACAATTCATGAATTTTTTAATCCGATATTCCTCATTACTATAAATCTTATTTTAGTTTGTAAACTAAATCATAAAAAAGTCTTATTAAAGAAAATATACTTCTCGATAATTAAGCATTATTTTGACTGTTTCTAAACAATGAAGGACATCTACTAAAACAAGTGTAGGTATTAAAATAACGTTTATATTAACGCAATAGTATGTAATACTTTTCTCTATGAATAGAAGAATCCGCTTGGTCGATACGATATGTTTCTCAATTTTTTCTACTTGACTCTTCTAGTGACTGTCGTTATATATGTAAATTTATATTTGTATATTACTTGATTTTCTTTTCTTTCTTTTTTTCTTTTTTTTTTTTTTTGCTACAGATTTACAGTTTTTCTTTTATAAATAATTAAAATGTCTTTTAGAATAAATCTAATAATTCAATGTAAATTATCTCCCCTTTTTTTTCTTTTCAGTTTCACTCAAATTGCGTCCGAACTTCCAAAACTGTTTACTCCTCATCAATTCTTTATTTACCTGCTGCCACCGTAAGTACAGAAGATTTTACCAAATTCGTTTCACACTACTTGCGTGACCCAGCTGCTGCAAAAGTTAAATCATAAACGAAATATGCAATCCGACTTAATCACAGCATTGTAATGTTAAAGATAAAAGTAAAGAATTGTTCGCAAAGAATATACCTTGATCAACTAATGTAAACTTCTGCAATAACTGTCGAATTTAAATTAGAATTTTTAGTTTTAATAAATGTGAGAATCAGTGGGTTCCACCTTGATAGGCTAAGAACGTGGGTTGCAAACGATTTCATCTGGACCTGAATCGTCGGCAGTTTTATGGCAACCAGCAGTAAAATCGAAATATGATAACTTAAACTGTCAGCCGCACAGAAAAAGTAAGAATTAAATGAATTATATGAATAAAGTAAGTAAATAAATAAAATTAAAACGCTTGTGATCAAGTGCCACTCTCCCGGAAGGTAGGGAATTCCGCTCATAGATTTTTAAAATCAGACCGCATTCTAGAATGTACATTCAGTAACTGTCCATGGTCGAGTGACACACCGTCAGTCGTGATGTACAGATGGGTAGTGTGGCAGTAGGAAGAACTGACCAGAAATTTCTATAGTTACAAGCCGTCTTTAGTGATGTAGAATTGGTGGCAGTCGACATTCTCATTGGTCGAAAGTGAGATATAGTCCGTTAGTTTATCGTGAGCGAAAGCAGATTTAGCAGCGAAGATGTCTCAAGATCGTATCAGGTGACTTCATAATTAAATAACCCAGTATATTGAAACCAGGATTCATGTTTTATCTTCTCGTCGTGGCGATATTTAATGATTGATTGATTGGTTTGCTTAACGGCAAGGACCCTAACAGGTGCTACTACCCCGGATCGGGGTTGATCTAGGAACAATAGCAATTAAGAGGTACTTTAACGCTCCTCAAAAACACCAATCTCATGATCAGAGGCCTTGCAGCTGGATGTAGTTTATCGTCATACCCAGGATGAGCGATATTTCATCTTCCGTTGCTTTGTTTGACCTACACCGTATCTTCCCCAGTTTTTGTACACATGACACGGACAGGAATCGTCGGGTGAAGCTGGTACGTCGGTGAAAACTGACCAAGAGCCGTAGTTGTATGTTTATAAACGTATATTCGCGATTTTGTGATAGGATTGATTTGATTTGTGTGTTTAACGACATATCAACTCCTTTATGGGTCATTTAATCCCGAAATTTAATTTTCTTGGGAGCTTTAAAGTAATAAAAATATATGTTATTCTGCTTTCACAATTGAATACATGGTAGATGATACTCAACTTTTGGGCATATACATGTTTGTGTGGCCATGGTTACGAGAGGCGGTGATATGTGTGTTTTATGTTGTAGCTTTGTTGAAGTTATATTTTGGAATACAGTTTGATTTAAGAAATTGTAGGATATAAGGATTAATGTCATCAAAGAGTTCCTTCATGTTGGTAATTCTAACGTACATAGGCATTGTTGCTAATTTTACTATAAATAGATATTATTGGTAATTTTACTATAAATAGGTATTGTTGGTAATTTTTAATATAAAGGTGTATTGCTGGTATTTTTACTATAAAAATGTGTTTTTATGCTTTCATCGTGTTTTGTTTGGGGGTTCACTATTTGCCCATAGCTAGGACCCTAAGAGGTGCTACCACCTGAGTCAGGGGGCACCTGGGAGCAACAGTAATTAAAAGGCGGTCCTACACTCCTCAAAACTTCCAATTTTCCGAGCAGAAACCTTGTTGCCGAATCTAGTTTATCGTCATACCCAGAATGATTTGTGACAGGAACGATTGTATTTACAACGAAGAAAGTATTTTAAAGTATTTTTAAAATGTTTTTATTATTTACAATCATTTGAAAATGTTTTCAGAGATGAAGCTTACTTTTATATTTACCTTCTTGACAAACATTTGCTGACCGCATTCCCGATGAAAATGTTATTCAGGGTGGGAGGAAACAGAATTCAGGGGTGGGGGATAACAGTACATGTGAATAAGCAATGGTTTGAAGTTTCCTTCAAAAGCGAGATTCACGTTCCTTTCCCACCATCGTATGATATGACCGTCACCAAATGACTCTACCTTAGAAACGACTCTCCCTTAGAATCCTAAACCTTATTGTACCGGCTGTGGTTTTCATTAGAAAAGCTTTTTTACAATTTCTTGACGTGCAAAGGTTTATTGGGGATGGCTAATTAAGCTATGACAAGTACGGAGATTTATTATTATATTTGGAGTTCAGGTCTCTAAATGAAATTGATTTAAATTAACCCAGACATCAGGCCTTTTCGTATTATTCATTCCCAAAATGGGTGGCAACACTCTTACCTTGATCAGTGGAACGCTCTATGAATGCGGCAAGGGCAAATGAGTGTAGGTGGCAGTGTATCGCCACAACAAAATGAGTTGATTTTTATTTTCAGTTATTTCATTTTTTGCTAAAATGTAATTGAAGGTAGAATATATATATATATATATATATATATATATATATATATATGTGTGTGTGTGTGTGTGTGTGTGTGGCCTGACGATTGCGTCAACGTATGAAACAGGCTGTCGCCTCTAAGTGTTGACTTCAATGTTCACTTATATATATATATATATATATATATATGTGAAAATATATAGAAAATAGGAAGGAACTGGTTAGGTAAATAGTCCAAAGTTCCTTAGTATTTTTGTTATTATTTTTAAAAAATAGTGCTCGATACAAAAGTAGAGCATAAATATAATTATTTATTTAAAAATATGATTCCAAATCGCTACATAAGAGGTCTCATGTTTCAAAACAAGAGCCGAAAACTTCAATATAATCCTTTAAATTAAATTGAGTTGAAATTAAAAAGGGCTCCGTTCCATCTTCAAGCGAATTTTTTGTTGGAATAACGTATATCTGAAATTCTTAGCTCTAATTAATAAACACTTCCCCACCAATAGTAAGCTTAGTAATATATTCAATAAGAACACCCTAAAATTGAGCTACAGCTGCTCTGATAATCTTGAACGCATAATAAAAAACACAATAATAAGATCTTGAACAAAACCCCATGCCAAAACAGTATTAATAAAAACTCTACACTTAAATCAGATGATAATAGGAAAAATTATGTAACTGTAGAAACCCAGAAGACTGCCCATTAGAAAATAAATGTTGTATTAACTCTGTGGTATACCAATGCACTATTTCATCCACAGAGAGCCTTAGCACTAATATGATATACATTGGGTCCACGAAGAATAATTTTAAAGATAGATGGAGGCAGCATAAGTGCTCCTTTAATAATATAAAAAAAGAAACCAGACTTCACTATCAAAATATTTTTGGCACTTGAAGGAAACAAATAAGACACCAAAAGTTAAATGGAAAATTATTGACAAGGCTAGAATATGTAAGGCTTGGGATGACCCATGCCCTTTGTGCCTCCATGAAAATTACACATTATTAAACTTCTAAATAATAATAATCTATTAAATAATAGACACGAGTTAACGGTTTTTGTAGGCATCATCAGATTTTTGGTTTGAAATAAAAAAAAAAAAAAAAAAAATTTATATAACTTGCTTAACAAATAATCCAATCATCAGATTCATAGTAGAAATTATTAACTACAAACTTGCATACAACATAACACCCTTCATAATACATAGCCCAAATTAGTAGTTTAAATACCTTACCTAAAAAGATAACCCTTTATGAAGTCGTCAAAAAAAAACGCCACGAAAGTTTTTTTTTTATAAGCACAATTCCCTTTCATAATAAAATAAAATAAAATAAATAAATAAATCTCCATAGACAAGCCAACTTGACGAAAGCTTAATACATCTTCGTTTTTTTTTTTTAACACCCCACCTTCCCCGACTTGACACCTTGAAAGTATCTCTATACCGCCACTCATCATTAACACCCTACACTCGCCTACCCATTTTAGACAATTCCCCTAACTGTTACCATGGTGATTTTGATTTCAACTTTTAAAACAAGTAAATTTCAGATATACGTTATTCCAACAAAAAATTCGCTTGAAGATGGAACGGAGCCCTTTTTAATTTCAACTCAATTTAATTTAAAGGATTATATTGAAGTTTTCGGCTCTTGTTTTGAAACATGAGACCTCTTATGTAGCGATTTGGAATCATATTTTTTAATAAATAATTATATATATATATATATATATATATATATATATATATATATATATATATATATATATATATATATATATATGGATTAATGTAAGTAAAATTGTCACTTAGACGATTGATGTTACCGTCAGCATCCCAACTCCAGAGTTTCGTAGACGGGTCTGTTCGTCCACACTTTCGGGGGGTATCAGTAATTTACTGCTTATACCTTTTCACTTTTTTTCTTTTTATACCCATTTACCACTGATGTAGTTTTTCTTCTGTGTTCGCGTGTGCGCTTGTCAGTGTGATCGTTTGCGCCCGTCAAAACGGATGTACGTCGTAATCATTTACCCTATTTTTTTTTTTTTTTTCTTTGTCTAGTTAGTCTAGTTTTGTTCTGGCTCTAGACATGTGACCTATTTTTAAATTACTTATTTATTTATTTTTATTTATTTATGGGCATTATTGTTTTTTTCTCGGGGAGTGGTATTTCTTTTAGTTACGTTTTAATGCTTATGCAATAAATAATATATAAAGTGCGCAGGTATGCAGAAAATAGAAAAGAACGCGTTGGGTGCATAATCCGGAGTTCCTTAGTATTTTTGTTTTTATTTTTAAGAAGACAGTGCTCCATACAGAAGTAGAGCTTATATTATAATATTTTTTGTTTAAAAATATGATTCCTTCGCTACGTAAGAGTTCTCATGTTTCAAAAACGAGAGCCGAAACCATCCACTTTAGATTCCTAAAATTTCGCTTGAAGATGAAACGGGACTAAACACCTCAATTCAACTTAATTTTAATAATTTTTTGGATGGTTTTGGCTCTCGTTTTTTAAACATGAGAACTCTTATGTAGCGAAGGAATCATATTTTTAAACAAAAAAAATTATATATATATATATATATATATATATATATATATATATATATATATATATATGATACCAATGATCTTAATGCTTAAATGGTAAATACATGCACATACTCATATATACATACAGATGTAAACACACACACATATATGCACATGCATATATAAACATGTTTATATATGTTTACTGGGCTATCATTTCGTTTTTTTAATTGGCTTTGATGATATAAGTATTAATTGTAGGTGGTTAACTTTTTAATTACATTTATTATTGTTAGAATTTATGTGCATATGTTTGTAATTTACGCATGTATATACGCACACATCTATTCGTTCGCGTATATTTAGGCATGTGCAGTGAAGTTATTTAATTTTTTAAATATCATTTTTTACACACACACATATATATATATATATATATATATATATATATATATATATATACACATTCCCACACCAACGCACGTACTGCACGCACGCAGCACACAAACACGTACATGTAATTGATAAACAGTGTATGTAATTGAAATAAATGTATGCTTATATTATATGTTATTTTTATCGTTTATTTAATGTTTCATTTTTATTTTATGTTTAGTAGTTTATTTGTTTTTGCCTTGGTGTTATATATTGAGGTATTAATTATGGTGGGTTAGGTTTGTTCGTTTTTTGGTGTTTGTGTATGTACATGACCACATGTATATGTACACATATGAACACACACAGGCATAGGTCCATACTTTCATATTTTTTCGTTTGTTTATTTATTAATAAATTAAGTTTCATTTATTTAATTATTTAAAGTTTTTATCATATATATATACATACACACACACACACACACACACACACACACACACATATATATATATATACATATATATATAATGAACTCTCCCTTCGGTTTCAACGTATGAGGATCTGACAGCTTAGTTTATTCAGTCATTAAATTTTATGCGATAATCTTAAGTGGCATTTAAGACCCGCTAGTGATTTTACAAAGGGGGCCACATATGGAGCAAGTGTGAGGATTGTGAGATGAGATCACTGTTAGATTGGCTGACCTTTTAGTTCTTGCTCTCGCTTCTTGAAGATGATTCAGACAAGCAGATTAAAAACTGCTGAGTTCACTAAAACACGTTGATCTCCATTCCATCCGCTCTAAGGCTAAGCATTCAAGGATGTTATGTGGTATATCCTTTATACTCAATATAAAAATTTGGGATGTATGGGAGGTGTAAAGGATAGCGGCTCGCAGCCAGAGAGGCTATAGTTCAGTTGGTTAGTTGCATTCACTTACGCGCACATATCCGTTGGGGAAGATATGAATGCATGTAATCAGTTTCTTCTGGCTTCCAATAAATGTCCAGAATCAGTTTCCTTCTACTAGCAGATTAGCAGTATGAACTTAAATCAAACAATCCAACAGCGCGTGTTTCCTGTTCACTACGGTAGTCGCCATTCTTTCTGTCGACTCTTTAAGCACTTTTTATAGATTGAATGACAGTTTAAATGTGTATATGTTAAAAGAACTTCTCACGAGAGTCTATCCGACTCCGACGTTTCGTGAAACTGCCATATTTTATATGCGAGACACATGCGAATCCGTGTTCGACCCAGCAGTAAGCCACTTTCTCTCGTGTTACAATCCATTTACCCGCCCCTTGACTAAATAATAGAACTTGTATTTGAAAAAATAATATCCACAAAAATGTTATTGCATTCGCAATAAAAATGCATTATTATTACAATCCAAAATATTTTAATAATAAAACCAATGCTCTTTACTTCCTGCTTGTTTCGAACTTTGACCTTTTGCTGTTTTCAGATTCTACTCTAAATCTAGACCATAAAATAGTTTACACTAGTGAACACTCCTATTTTGCATACCAGTGAATTCTCGCATCATTGTGAAGCAAACTTATCTTGCAGACCAATTACTACCAAATTGAGTTTGACCTTATACCAAAACTAAGCTCTGCATAGTCAATAATAATTTAATTGATTAATTAAATAATTGGTTAATATCAATTAAATACCAACCACAACTCTTTGATATTGTTAGTCGTGACGTAAACTAACATAACGAAAATTCAAAATCGACGTTCCATGAAGATATTCGTCTCGCAAAACGATTGTTAGTGTATAACTTCAGGGTTTGTTCCAGAAATACCGTCTTGTGTCAATTTTGGCTGGAGATATTAACTCTACAAAACAATGGGAGAAAATTCAAATAAATAGTTTCACTATTTCTAAAATCAAAACGTGTCGTCATCAGAAACAATAACTCTTTTTTATTTTGCAGAATTATCCTCGAAGCATCATATAGTCTCAACGATAGAGTCTTTTATGAAAATCTGGGAAGCGTTTTAATATTTGCTGTTATTGTAAGTACATGATATGTTAATATTTACAGATTTGCTTTTAATCTTTGCATTATTACTTGAAAGGGAATAGTGTCAGAGAGAATTGGATCTTTTTCTCCTTTTTTAAGTGTGCCCAACTTTCCAGTCTTTTCTTTTTAACGCTTTTCTACTGTGCATTCACTACCTCGTTTTCACAAAAGATAGGCGCTGCTAACTTGTACACACACCTAATCTTTTGCATATACATGCAACTGCGCTGACGTATGAAATGCTTGCTTTTTGTCAATGAAACAAATGCTTGCTTTTTTGTAAGGAAACAAAAATAAAATAATGATCGTTCATCAAGAGAAGTAAAACATTTTAGCAAAAAGTGTTACGCCAGCTTTGTTTTTTATATTGTTGTTCACCCAATATAAGTCCCCACAAACTACTCAAAAGGTTTTACTAATTGACGTTGTTTTAAGGGGGTAAATAGAGGTGTTAAGAAGTGCATATTATGAGGATATGTTTAATAAATAAGAATTGAACCTTGACTTGAAAGGTTAAGATCGTATAAATCGGCGAAGCATTCTCTCGGGATTCTGTTCCTTAGTGAAAATAGAGTGCGAGGTTGTCCGAACGAAACATCTTTCTTGCCAATGGGATATGAAGGAAATAGGGATGATTCTACCCTGGGAATGTGGCATAATATATTTCCTAAACAGATATATACCTATGTTAATGTCTACAGGGTGCGATGGGTGAATTGTCGTCTAAATTACGCAAAAATGAAAATAACACTGAGATCTCATTTTAACAGATATATTTACCAAAATTATACAAAAATATCTTGAAATAGTAAAGAGTAAATCTATTCAATAAAATCGTCATTGGTTTCAACCACGGCCTCCAGGTGATTTTGGAATCTCCTGAAACTCTTCTGGACGGTCTCCTTGTTTAAGTTGTTGAATGCTGCCATAATCGTTGTCTTCAGTTCATTTTCAGTGTTAGAAGAAGTTTTTTGCTAAAGGCTTCTCTTTGACATATATTAATTTTTCTTTTTTTATTTAATGTTCATTCAGTACAAGGCACAAGAGCCACTCATGATAGAGGGTTACTGAATGAGATGTTCTTATAAATGTAATAGGACGAAAAAAAAGTGCAGATTATGTTATAAAGGATAGATGACGGTTGATCCTAAACTTGAAGAGGTTAAGATCGTAGTGATCCTCTCAAAAGTTTGTTCCACAGAGAAGCGGATCTTGAAAAAGAAGTTGTCCAAGTGGGACTTTCTTCTTACCAATGGAATATGAAGGATTCGACCCTGTGGATGTGGCATGGCTGGTCTTAGTTTTAAAGATATAAACTAGCGGAACCAATGAATGTAGCTCGACGATGCAGGTAGCGTAACGTGAATGGTGGAATCGGTGAGCCTAGTTCAAGATCCTACCTCGTCTCTTGTATGCACTTAGTTCTAATGCCTTTCGGAAAGGCATGAAACCATTACTTCTCCTTTATGGGTTAAATAGTAGACTGTCGCCGAAAAGGATATCTCTGAATTCGAAATCATGCAGAAACCGCTCCACTATCTTTCCCGAGAATATTTGTCAATTCACAGATCCTTACTGTTATCGTATTGAACATGTTTACTTATTTTAAGACATTTTTTATGTTCATACGTTCTTTTTATAGATACAAATATTTAAGTAAATGCTCTGTTTATAATAAACAGTATTAAATAACATTTACCGGCTTGAATGTCCGAGAAATTTTCATAAAAAATATTCGTCCTCCGAACAGAGCATTTACTTAAATATTTATATCTATAAAAAGAATGTATAAACATAAAAATGTCTTAAAATAATTGTCGTACTTTGTCCATTTCATAATGTGTGACGTCATTTGTTTACCTTTGGATACGCTTTGAGCAGATATGAATGTACGTGAGAGAATCATGGAAGATTGTAGTTTAAAGACAGTAAAATCGACTTTACTAACCGAACGCTCCTCTGTGGCCCAATCGGTTAAGGCACGTCAGGCTATATGACGGTTCCGTATAGGATACAGGTTCGAATCCTGTCAGAGGACGAATATTTTCTATGAAAATATCTCGGACATTCAGGCCGGTAAATGTTGGTTAATACTGTTTATTATAAACAGAGCATTAGATATTTGTATCTCTAAAAAGAATGTATAAACATGTCTTAAAATAATTGTCGGACTTTGTCCATTTCATAATGTATGTTTACTTATATAAACCATTGCTATCATCAACTGCAATGTAAAAATTAATGAACGTTTCTCGTCGAGAATGAACATTTCCTTTTTATATTATTTTCAGGCTACCATTTTGAATTTTTTATTCATCGGTAAGTTTTGTTGTCTTTCTTACATTTTACCAGTGTTCCATCACATAGCTTCATTATTACCGCTCTGTGTCTGCTTAAATAAACTATCTCTTCAATGTTCAACGTTCCACACGAAAAGAGTGTATAATAAATCGGAACTAGAACCTAACTGCCATAATGAATATCCGCTATGTTGGTTTCGTTTCGTTTGTTTTACGGCATATCAACCACAATGGATTATTTAATGCCGATAAGATTTTTATTGCTGGTAATGTTTTGATTGTTTTTTTTTTTTTTTTTTTTTTCAAAAATGTATTCCAGGTAATAATTTTTCTTCAAAAATGTATTGCTAGTAATAATTTTTTAACAAAGTATTTCTAATATTAAAAACTATTTTTACACTTTCATAGTGTTTTGAGCCCAATTTGAGGGTTAACTATTTACCCATAGCTGGGACCCTAATGGGTGCTACCACCTCCAGTCAGGGTGAACCTGAGAACACCAGCAATTATGGTTGTTTTTATATATGTAGTAGTGGTTCCACGCTCCTCAAACCCTAATCAAAGGCCTTGCTGTTGGATGCAGTTGATACATTATCCAAGACGCGGATGTAGTTTATCGTCTTACCCAGGACGCGGATGTAGGTTTTAGCTATATGCAGATATGGATATTGTTTACCAGAACCAGATTTCTTATATGGAATCAGGAAATTAAATTTAGATTCATGTTATTCTTGTACTGTGAATACCATATCGCTTTTATTCTGAAACATTTACTCCTTTTTTCTTCTTATTTCAGGTTTTACTCTCTATGGCCTCGTTGTTGTTGGCGCCATGGGCGAAATAAACATCCAATTCATTCCAATACTGGTTTTTAGTTCGTTAATAGTCGCTGTTGATCCAGTGGCGGTACGTATTAAGATATTTTTTGTACATCTCAAAGAACTATTGGAACTGCTAGGTAACCATGACATATTTGGGGAATTAGAATAATCCAAAACTTATATTGGAAGCAAATCGCAGACATACAGACAGAAAATGGATTCGCTAAAGATACAAAAATAGAAATGGGTTTAAGTCAAGGATGGGTCTTCTCATTGGATTTATTCAACCTATACAGTGAGGAGATTCTGAAAGAATTTGAAGTTCTAAAGAATTCATTATTGGCAGCCATGATCTTAACAACATAAGATATGCAGATGACATACTGTAGATTGCATGCACAGAAAGGAAACCACATGAAAACCTAGAGAAGGTGTTAACGGAAAGAGAGAAGAAAGGACTAAACATCAATTGAAAAAAGAGATAATGTATGGTTGCCAGCAATAGGGACAGCTCATGATGAGAAGTACAATTTTGAGATATCAAAATCAAGCGAGTACCAAAATTTAAATATGCGTGAAGCGTTTTAATAGAGAACAGAAAGTGTTACACTGAAATCCGAAGACATATGGAGATAGCGAAAGAAGCTTTTCAAAAGCTTAGTAAAGTGTTAAGAAACAGGAAAATTTTATTAGAAACAGTGAAAAAAGTACTGAACTGTTATGTAATATCAATCCTCCTAAGACACTTAAAGCAACAGAAATGTTGTTCTACAGAAGGATGCTGAGAATAAAATCGACTGAAACTGTAAGCAACGACGAATTTTTAGAGAAAATGGAAATAAAAAAAAGACATACTTAAATATCAGAAAGAAAAAGTTGAATTTTTTATTTTAATGAGGAAAGAGGGTTTGGAAAATGTTATACTCACAGGGCATAGTGAAGGCAAGAGGGACAAAGGAAATCATAGTATAACCTATGGAGCTTGTGCAAATGGCTGACAGAACAGGCTTAAAGAGAGAAAGCGAAGGGCATGAAATTGTAGAGAGCCATGATCGCCCACGTCCTGAAGAGACATGGCACATAGACGAAGAAGAAGAAGAAGAAGAAGAAGAAGAAATTATTAATTGTTGATTAAAATTTAAATTTAAATTTAATTTAATTTTTAGTTACTTTTATTCCAACTTTTAAAATTCAAGTCATCAATCTCATGAAATGAGCAGTGAGTGCAAATTGAAAAATAAAAATATAGTCTCGGTGAAATTCGAAATATTGTTCCTTTTGACTCAGAGCAACCTGGTTGAACACACCAGCTGATTCAATAGAAAATCAAATCTAAAGTAGCTAACGCCTTTTTTTCTGAAGCAAAAGAAATAACGGCAAATAATATTACGGATAAACCTTATAGTCGTAAAGGTAACAGATGTAAGATATGTCTACTGGAAAACCTAATAATATGGTAGGGCATGGAGAATGAAAATATATTTCACAACGGAGAGTTATGCCAACAGATCATTATTATTGATACAATTGATTGAATATGTAACTGATATTTCCAGCATCATTTTTCTTCATCTTATGATGTTATTTTTATTTCTATAGTAATTTGATCTTTCATTAAAATATTTATGTGTATGTACAAATAAAATGTATGTACAATTTAAATGTGCAAACGGATTAAATGAATAACCTGAAAATCTAAAATTATGCTACGGTTGTAAAATACAGTAAAACCATCGAACGTTCAGAATATGAAAGAGAAACCATTGAAGTAAAATATGTAGATTTCAGTGAATATTTGTGAACGTGCCTGCAAATTCCATTATATATATATATATATATATATATATATATATATATATATATATATATATATATATATATATATATATATATAAAAAAAAGTAAAATTTAATATTACAAGACATATTAAAACAATATTAAATAATTAAAAAAACTCAACAGCAAGGGGGGAAGCAACCGGTTTCGCTCCCGCTCATCAGGCTTCCACGGGAGATTCAAAATTAAAATAGAGAAATGTACAATAAGAATAGGTGGAAAAAAAAATATATATATATATATGCATACACATATATATTTGTAAACATGCAAGAAGGAACTAGAGGCAGATGACAGCGAGTCCCAGCAAACACTCACGTTGTTTGCACAAAGAAGGCTTGCGGGACCCGATGTAAAGCGCCTCCAGAACCTTCAGATGAAATACAGAGTGTGACCGGGCCAACACGGTGAATCAGTCGACATTAAATTTGGAAGCGCAATCTCTGCTATTTAAAAGATGTTCGCATATGGCGGAACTGTAGGTGTTCGGGACGAGTCCACTTAAAGGCAAGGTGTGTTTTCTAATTTTAGTAGGAACGTGCTGCTTTATTCTAGTGTCTAAGCGCTGAGTTGTTCTCCCTATGTAGTTGGCTCCGCAACTACAAACGTATTTGTAAACAATTGAATTAATATGGTGGGGAGGGAGAACGTCTTTACACGCAGATCGAAACATAGGCCGAGTTTGAAAAATAATCCGAACTTCAGCAGAGAAAAAGCAACAGCGAACCTTTGATGAAATTTGCTTTGGCTATTTGTCACATTTGGTACCAATCCAGGGTAATCTAAGGTAAACAGGGCATTTTTTGACAGTGTAGAGATCGGCACTTCTGAACTCTTCAACTTTACTGCGGATAACTGAATTAACAGTATCAAGAGGATAACCCAAATTACATAGGGTATCCCTAATAAAGTTAATTTCGTCGTTCAGGAAAGGCTCAGAGAAAATATTTAATGCTCTGTGGAGGAGGGTTTTGATAATGTTGATCTTGCGCTTAGTGGGACAAAAAGAGTCCCAACGCGTGTATAACCCTGCAAAAGTAGGTTTTCTATAAACGGAAGTAAGAAAACCTGTTAACGTACGATGTACTAATACATCCAAAAAAGCCAGTTGATGATTAGACTCTTTTTCGATAGTGAACCTCAGTGCCGGATGGAAACCATTTAAAAACGAAAGAAACTGGTCAGCTTCAACTTCACTGTTGAATAAACAAAAGGTGTCATCAACATACCGACAGTACAGTTGAGGACAAAGTGGATATATATATATATATATATATATATATATATATATATATATATATATATATATATATATATATATATATATATATAAATTAAAGTATAGGTCCTTTAAATATCCCTCATAAGATGTCACACTAATAAAACTTTCCCGGGGATGCGTGAAGTACCTACGTGTGTAGTTTTTTGCATTTCAACCAAATTCGATTCACCAGGTACCTGAGAAACTTTTTTGATTAACAAGTTGCAAGGATTAATTTCCTTATTATTTCTTGCTTGATTGATTTGTTTTTTACAGCTTATCAACCCTTTATGGGTTACTTAAAGTCGAAAAACATATTTGGATTACATTATCCGGTGTTCCCAAACGTAAACCCATCTAAGTACTGACCGAGTCTTAACTTCGAACGGGTACTAGTTTTTTCAGCGTTTCTCCACAAACCTTCAAACATTGAAATACATATAAATTCCATTTCTTAGTTTTTGATTAAACCTTGATTATATCTAAGCATATCTTATTTTCATTTAAGAACTGATTATTAAGGATAGTTACTCCATTACGTTCACTTACGTGCTAATACCCTTGAGAAAGTTATGAATCCTCTTCTCCTCCTCCCCCCACCCCAACCAGCATGGGTAAATAGCAGGGAAGACCCGGTTCTATAGCCTTGGATGGTCTACCACAGAAAGAAATGGCAACCTACTGCGGGAAAAAATCTGCCTCGTCAGTCATGTATCAAAAGATACATGATCACCTAAGCGTGTATCACGTATGGCACATAACTGACTGACTCCATGTAGAATTTCTCATCTTCGCGGCGTTTTCTCATTCACTTAAGATTAATTGATACGTAATATAAAACGCCATAAAATAGTCAGTCAATTTTAAAGCATGAAGATGTCAAGTAATTTCATGCTATTTCGTAATCTTAGCTTAGTCTGGCATAAAAACACAAGATAGATATTAAGCAGGGTTTTTGTTTACACGAGGCTACATGAAAAATGGAAAATTGAATTTCGTCAAATTCGGAAATTTGACGGAGGTTTCTTACAAGAATATTAGTATTCCAAATCCTGGCTAGTAACTGGTTCAGTTGGAAAATATTCAACTACCCTGGCTACCAAGAACGACATACATATTGTAAATATTCACTATGTTTAACTTACAGTCTGACACAAGGTCACAATTGTGGAGCATCAAGTGAGCATCGAACACGTAACCGACAACCTACTTAACTAACCTTACAACCATGACAAGCACGTAATATATGTGTGTGTATGCGTGAGTGTGTGGATGGATGCGAAAACATACACACCACAAATAATACTTTATTTCATTGAACAGTACACCATATTTTTCAGGTATTGGCTGTCTTCCAAGAAATGGGTGTAAACAGTGTTTTATATTTCCTCGTCTTTGGTGAATCACTTTTAAACGGTAAGGCACCTTGTCAAATATGTTTGATGCAAGATCTTATGATTTTTATTTACTTCTTCCAAATTGTCTGTAAAACTTAATTAAGAATACACACTTTCAATAAAATTTAAAATAATTAAAACGTAAATAAAATACATTAATTTATTTCTATGATATTTTTAAATAAGGTTTTCACTTAGTTCCGACAATACCAAATTCACTATCATACTGACTAATTCTTTTGTACTGCGCAATTTTTCAAGACTCATTTCTCACCTATGAAACTCTCTTCCAGTTGCTTACTTCCAATTTAGAAAATTTATATGCAATGTCTATTGTCTTAGTGGCTTTATCGCCTTGCTTGGTGTGAAATTATTTTAAAAAATACACAAAATTGACTTTTCGAGATATTTTTTCATTCCAAGCTCTTGATTTTTCACCAGCTTCTCGTTCCTTCTCTCATTTCCTTTTGATCACGTAACAACCTAAACGAACCAATCAAATCTCTCGTTCTATACTAAAAGAAATAAACCTCTTCTCTTGAAAGTAACTTAAGAGGTTTTACATATCCTCTCTTGGTGACGTCACCATATCTAAGATAAGTATAAAAGTCACTTTTACAATATATTGTCACGGTGCAAATAAGCACTTATATAATACAACACAAGGGTCAGTGAAGATTTGAGAAAAAAAAGACTGTTTGATAACTAACCAACTTTGAAAAGGTATCTGTCTCCATCGCTTCATTCTTTTTTTCTCTGCCATTCTTATCTCAGTGACCTATGTACCACTCATCCAAATACCATTTTTGCTTAGAGGGACTTAAGCTACTAAAATATATCGGATTATGTGTTATAAAGAGGTTATAAATTTGCAATATATATTCTCTATACCCAGGGCACCTCGTGGCGGTGTAATTGTTAGCAAGCTTGTCTCGCTAGAACAATTACAACTGAGTAGTGAGTTTGATCCTCGCTGGGTGCCCCCTAATTTCAGCCTTGTGCCACATCTAAGCTACGCTTGGAAAATCACTCTATTCTCTATACACAGGGCACCTCGCGGTGGTGTAATGGTTAGCAAGCTTGTCTCGCTAGAACAATTACGACTAAGTAGTGAGTTCGATTCTCACTGGGTGCCCTATACATTCGGCCTTGTGCCACATCTGAGCTACGCTTGGAAAATCGCTATTTTCTGTATACCCAAATGATATTATGCAAGAAGATCGGAAAAAAGAACATTTAAGAATATAAGAATGAAATAAAATGGTTAAGTTGAGTGACGGTCCTTTTTTCTACAAAATAGCCTGCTGTCTTCGCGGAAGCTAGTGCTTTAAAAAAAAAAAAATAGATGTTTTTTACAATTTGCTTCTCTTTCTTTGTTAGAAACAAATTGAACTTTTCTGTATTAGAGAGCAAAATTTGCTAAAAAAAAATCGGAGAATTCTGACCAAAATTGGGCAAAAGTGAAAAGATAAAAAAGACAATCTTTATAAGAAAAAAAATAAGAACCAGACACTCACTCTTAGAAATGTTTGTTTAAACGGGATATGAATTCCGGTGCAAACGTTACCTCTTTTTGAGATATATCTATCCTGGTTACTTGCATGGACACCTACCTCGCTTAGTTGAGCCGCCATTTTGTCGAAACCAGTAGCATGTATTTAAAGTAATATATCATGTTGTGATAAGAAAAAGGTTATCTCTTTAAAAAAATCTCCATTGGTCGATGTGTGTGTTTTAATCATTTCAAACCGACGCAAAGCGATAAAGCCACTAATACTCAAGGGGTTACAGGAAGTGAAAGAAACTGAGAAAACGTTTTGAGGAGAAAGGACAATAAAAACATAATTCAGAAACACAGAAAATGACGATTGACGTTGCTTTCAAATTTTTTATTGTCGTAATTGACTAGAAAGCAAAAATCCGGAAGAGAATTCTGTAGGTGAGAAGTGTGAGAGAAGAAACTATTAGAATAGAACTTACGGTTGCATCTAGCTATTTCAACAGTAAAATGATGAGACCTAACTACCAATCTAGTACTAAGCTTAAATTATTGAAGTCGCAGTACTAAAAAGAAGATTCTTCAGAACAATATGAGCATTCTAGTTACTGCTATCTCCATGAAAAATACCCTTTGTTTCATTCGATATAAGGTTTCAGAAAATTTCAAAAACGTTTGGTTTTATGTCTACCTTTGTTCAAACCATTTGAACAACGAGAAAGGACTAACCATTAATTATAAGAAAACAGAATATGGGATTGTTAGGGAGCCAATGATGTAAGCTACAGACTGGAGACGTAATAATCAAGCAAGTGCAGACACGTTTTATAGCCGACAATGAAAAATGAGATACAGAAATATATTAGAATAGCGAAAGATGCCTTCTAAAAGCTAAACAAGTTATTAAGAGACAGGAAAATTTCGTTAGAAATCAAAGAAAAGAATGTTTAACTGTTATGTATTTTGGCATATTTAAAAAATATTTTCAAGTGAATATGATTTTGAAATATTTTTTGGCATATTAAAAAAATATTTTTTAAGTTAATCTTATTTAAAGCTCAAGTTTATCCCGGAAATTCTATTCTTATTAAAAGCCGTAAACAATCAGTAAAACGTTAAACATGAACTTGTAAACGGAACCAATGATGACACGAACAAATTGAAATATTTAAGTGAATCAAAATAAAATGAATTTTCATTTTAAGAGAATCTTGAAATCAACTTCAACCGTCAGTGACCCAACGGGTCACGTATAATCTAGTATATATATATATATATATATATATATATATATATATATATATATATATATATATTATACGAGCAATCAGTAAGTTCACAGGCTAATGATGAAAACTTAATTTATTTTACTCAAAAGATATGTATTTGTGAACAGTGTCTTCTTTTCCAATGCATTTTATTCAGTGGTGAAATGATATGAAGGATGTGTCTTCTCCCCAGATTTATTCAACCTCTACAGCGGGGTGGGGGGCTTTTCTTTGAGGGAGCTGGAGACCTTATTCATTATCGATGGGCACAACCTTAACAATATAAGAGACGCAGATGACATTGTGTTGATGTCAGACATAGAAGGAAACTGTAAGGCCTCCTAGACATGGTAATAAAGGAAAGCGTGAAGAAAGGACAACCCATCAACTGTAAGAAAAAAGAATGCTGTAAGAATGCTGAACTCTTATGTGATTCTCTTGTATGACAGTGAATGCTGGATTATCTTCTCACAGCTGAAGAGAAAAGTGGAAGCAACAAAAATGTGGTTCTATAGAAGGATGCTGAGAATACCAGAGACGGAGCGCGTAATCATCGAAGAAGTCTTAAGAAAAATGAAAAGAAATAAGATACTTATATTCAGAATCAGAAAGAGTCAGTTGAAATTTCTTAGACACATTTTGAGAAAAGGAGTCTTGGAGAAGTTGGCACTCACAGGACAGATCGAAAGCAAAAGGGCAAAATGAAAACAGCGGGCTAGCTGCCTGACGATCCTGGGTGGATGGATGGATAAAAGACGGTTCAGAGATTCGACAAAGGATAAACGGATGCAAGGGATAGGAAGTTGGGGCGGGGGGACCATGAACACATAGAAAAAGATGAAGATGATATCAAATAGTATACAATGTAAATTTAAAATCAAATTTCAGCTAATAAACGGTCAGGCTACGAATTTACTTTTGCAAGGTCGTATGTACGCTTATTGGAATAAAAATAAAATTTATTTTATTTTATTGATCGCATACATAGGCACACATATTAGAGTGTGCGTGGCTAATATTATACATATGCAATATATATATATATATATATATATATATATATGAATCAAAATAAAAAGAAAGAACAGTCAGATTTATAATCTAGAGTTCTTTATCATTTATTTTTTAAAACAATGCTCGATACACAGTAAAGCATAATATTATAATTATTTTTTTAAATATATATTCATCGCGACACAGAAATTTTCATGTTTCGAAACCAAAACCTAAATCATAAATTAAACTTAATATATTATAAGTTCAGTTCCATTTTCAAGCGTGAGTTATTCAGCATCGCTTGAAAATGCAACTGAACTTAAAATTTTAAGTTTAAGATTTAGGCTTTGGTTTCGAAACATATTAATTTCTGTGTCGCGATGAATACATATTTTTAAAAACAATTATATATATATATATATATATATATATATATATATATATATATATATATATATATATATATATATATATACATACATATATATATATATATATATATACATACATATATATATATATATATATATATATATATATAAATTAGCTACCCTAAATCCTCTCAACTCTCATCCTCTATAAATCTTTATATGTCGACATAATAACAAATTCAAATTTCCATAGCGTAATTTTTGCCTCTTTAGACACCATAATGTCCCTCATCTATTTCCACCTCCTCTAAATCTATTTTTTATTCTATATTAATTTTCTATTTTTCTTAATTTCTATTTTAAATTTTCCTCTACTTAGAATTTTCCTTAATTGTCTTTCCGTTAATCTCTTACGTCCTCGTTACCTTATATATATTTTTTAAATTATTTTTAAATTTATTTTTAAATCCATTTTTAAATTTTAAATTTATTCTTTCCTATTACTAATGCCCCCAATTTGCCTTCACAGGGTTAATACTCTCTGACCTATTTAATACACCTTCTCCCCTTTTAGATCGATAGTTACCGCCCACCCTGGCCCATTTCTGGTGCCTATCATCTAACATAAACATTGAAAATTGTGAACACTATATTAGCTATTTTCGGCAATTTAAATTTTAGGTTGATCCTTTAGCTTCTAATATCACCTGCTTACAATTAACTCCGATTCTCCCTACGTACATGAACTTCATTCCACATCGGGGTTGAAAAGACAGACGATCACTTTCATCGTCTGTCGACGAAATAGACTATTCCCCACATGAGGTAAAAAAAGTTTTTGATTATTCATTCGCATATATAATTGCAATCGTTAAATTGTTTAGTTATTCTGAATAGCTACAATAGAAATATTAACACCTGTAAACAAAGAAAATTTTGTAGGCGTAGATAATTTTGTTAAAAAAAGATGAAGATCTATTAAAATCGTGTTGTCTACTTTTACCTTTTTATAGATGGCGTCACTGTGGTTTTATATAACGTCATGCAGACATATAATGAGATGGAGGTCATTGGAGGAGAACAGGCAAGCTAA